CTTCCTTTCCTGAAAACCATTGGGCGCTTTATTCACGAAAAGGAATTGGATAGTAGAAAGTTCTTTAATTTAAAACTTGAAAAAATAGTTAGATTTCTAATGAATTTAGATTAGAAGTTATTCTGATAGCAGAGAATAATTCACAGCTCTTTGGAAGATAGGTGGAAGGATGAAGCTAAAGCACATATGCCAAAGGTCATGGAATCAATGCTATCAAAGAACCAAATAATAAAAGATTGCTTTTCAGGAGTGAGAGAGTAATGAAACGGAGTGGTTTTTCGAAGGTCACTGAGTGACCACTAAATGGTATTTTATAAACTTTAATTTTCAACTCCCCCTATAATCTTATTGGAAGAAGCAATACTTTTGATAAAAAGGAAATTGTCCCGATTGAATGGCCTTCAATTTGAAGCGGAAATTGAATACTGTTAATTTCACTAAAACTTACAATATTTTCAAATTTGAAAAAACCATCTTTTTCACTTTGAAATTCTATTTTGGGATACAGTAAATAAATTTTAGCACAGAACTTTTAACAAATTACAGGTTTATTTGAAAATAATCCCAATCATATGCTAACTTTCGGTCGAGTGGTTTTGTCACAAGAAGTTGCTGGGATTTACCTCTGCAATACTACTAACGGGAATGACGGATTATCCACATGCTTCTAATTCACCTTGTCATTGATCTATGATTCCTGCCAATCAATATTCCATTCATTTGCATTAGCTACTTTATACTGTAGTAATTTTCTATGTTTTTCGGATTAATAATATCAATATCTGAATGAAGAAATTCGGATATCAACAGATGTGAAATATCTAAAACAACCAGATGAATCAATGAAGTATTTTGGAAAATGGCTTCTCGGGATCATCTTTGTCGCGATCGTTCTTACACTTATATTCTTCTTATCCAATACCTATAGACGAATATCTATGCAACAACCTGATTCGTCCGTTAATTCCTATCATCAATATGCAAAACAAGAGAGTACTGAAGATAATACAATTAGCATTCCGCAAATCACCGATACCATCCAAGAATTCAGCAGTAATGTTGAACAATTTGAGATGACCAGTGAGAATTTGGCTACATCAGGACATTATAACAATGCATCACGAAAATCAATTAAAGGTATTTTAATCATTACCTCTCCAAAGTTCACGAAATTTGCTAGAAATTCGAATTAATCCAGAAATTGAATTTCATGCAAGTGACATCGGATTTTCGAAGTTCAAGCATACATATTTCGTTGAGTTTATTTTCAGATGATATGACGGAAGCAATGCGACAAATAAAATTAGGGGACGACCCATCGATAATTGCAGCGATATCCAAAACTGCTTTTTACAATTTATCTACTTCTACTGTTACTCTTACACCTGTTACTACTACTACTGCTAAAATTATTTCGGGTATCAGTACTGCTACTACAACCGGTAAATATAAGAAATGTAAATTTAAGGCATACATTAAAACTTCTCCCGATACTTTTACAGAACTTCTAAAATTTCTTGCCGAAAGTATGAATGTCGTGGATTTTCCAAATGCTACGAAAACCGATGTGATTTCAAACTCTAACACAATCGATAAAATGCTATCCTTTGGGAAAAGTGCGTACTCAAAGATGTCGATTATTCGAGAATTTCCAACTCCCAGTAATTTCAAAACAACGAATCTACAATACGCTGAAAGTAACGAAGAAAGTGATACAAACCAAATTGTTATGACATCGACAGAATTTGCTACAAATTTACAAAATTCGCGAATAACAACATTTTTGGCACCAAATCCCACTTCAGTTTCTTCACAACTGATACAGAAAGATATGGTGGCAATCGATAAAGAAACCGAAACGGAAGCTGAAAATGATGAAAGTAAGGACGAGAAAGATGATTATGAGTATGAAGATATTCTGTATATCAGTCCACCTGTTACTATTACTACTACTACTACCACTACTACTTCACCAACTATCACCACTACTACTACTACTACTACTACTGCTAGAAGTATTAGTGTCCCTGAAGTAAGACTTGTAGCTTTTCATTTCGGTTTTTTTGTAAGGAAATATTTCTATACTCAAAACAGTCACTCATTTTCAATTTATTTTTGTGTTCACTACAATGAATATCAAAAGAGTCTTACCTCAACTTTAGGTTTCATTCGATATCCAAATTTTTGAGTAAAAAATTATTCATCTTTTGCTTTATATATAAATATTCTGCTAATAGAGGCATACCGTTTATCGAATTGCGAATTTCAGTTCACACCGTTATCACAATCCCACCATCATCATCATCATCGCCATCAGTATGAGCATTACGACCGCCAATCGCCAATAATCGTCACAGCCTTATTCGATATAGGTCGTGGAAAATGGCCCAGGTACACCAGAACCTATGAGCAGTATATGAATTACTTAAAGCATTTACTGAAATTAAGGAATTGTCTAGTCATTTATACCGATTCAAGGGGAGCCGAATTCGTGCGACAAATGAGGAATACACATAACACCCAGGTCATATTAGTGTTCACCTCATTTTATTCGTTTTTTTTCTTTTTTTAAGTATTGAAAGTTAAACTTTATTTCAACTAATATTAATATAAAAAAATTTAGGAATTCCTAATTTAATTAAAAATATCAATAATAATATTTCTTATAAATTCAAATTAACGCGCATATTGTCATAGTAATAAACAACACTTCAACGGTAATGCAAATTTCAGATATTTGAAATGTCGATGCGTGATCTTCCCTTGTACAGGTATCGGGAAGAAATAGAAGGTATCATTCGACGAGAACAGGAAGGTGATGAAACTATTGATAAACTTGTTGATTACATTGGACTATGAATTCTTTTAGATTTGTTCAGTTAGTAGAACATAAATAGACTAAAATATCGATTTTTTTCAATATTATGGATATTTTAAACGGTGTTACAGAAGGATGGAAAATGTATTTTCAGATTGGCGATTCGGTCCAAAAACACGTTACCATCCGGAAGCGAATAGTGCCGATTACAATATAATTGTCAATTCAAAGCCGTATTTTTTATATAATGCAACGCAAAATACCCGATTTCGAGCTTCTGACCGAATATTTGCCTGGATTGACGCCGGATATGGTCGGCAATTAAATTGATTTCATCTAATCAGATAATTTAAGTTACAGGAAACCATGACAAATGTTATTTAGGTCACGGCCGAGAAGGAATCATTCCGAAGTATTGTCATTGGCGACCAGATCTTCGACGCGATCGCATAACAATTATTAAAATGACACCAACACACGATAAAGTGTCCAGGTTTGCAAAATTTCTTCCACCTTGGCAAAGCAAAAGATCCAATTCAAATCAATTAATTGGACTTATTTGATTAATAAATATGCAGGTACTCGATAACTGATTTGTATCGCGTTGATTGGGTTGTATTAAGTGGTGGCTTCATTGCCGGTGACAGTCATACCATTAATCGTTTTTATCGGTTTTACCAAAAATCATTTATGGAATTGTTAGATTCTGGTCGGATTGACGATGACCAAGTAAGTGTGTATTATTTGTTTAAAAGAATTCAAAATGGAAAATTATTTCACTTGAAATTCACAAAAACAATTGAATGGAACAACCATCTGAGCCCAGTAATAATTTCTGTGTCATTTCCGGTTTCAGAAGAATTATTTCTGTTTTGAAATTCACTGGGATGGTAATTTCAAATAGAGCATGCAATTTAATCCAACATATAACAGAAGTTGACAATTATGCAATTCAATCTAAACTACTCTTTTTCCATTTCTAATTTTAAACCGAAGTTGAATTTTTTCAGACAGTGTTAACACTTATGCTTAAACATTATGCGAATTTGTTCAATCCGATTTCTAGTAACGGTGATTGGTATGCCATATTTCGACTATTTCCTTGTCATGATAAACAATGACCTTGTTATTACCAAAGTCACGATATAACGTATAGCGAACAGATACGATACATAGAAACATACGACCAAAAACACTTGATCTTTTGTGAACTCCTTTGTCTTAAAGTTAGAAATGAAAGAATATGAGAAATAGAACATTCGTCAAGTCATTTATCATAAATTGGCCAATGCCAGAGACTATCTGGAAGGCAATAAGAAGGCAATAAGCTTGATATAAGCCGAAACAGAACACATTTCAATCAACAAAAAACGACTAGTATCAATGAGTTCATCTTATAACGATAGCAGAAAATCAAACTTCCCTTTAACAGTCTTACTGGAATATCTAAAATATTTCAAACTTCCATTAATTCTGTGTTATCATCAATTTTGACTCCCCTAATTAAAACCGATGAACTGATACCAAATTTTTGTCAAGGCTCGTTTTCAGCCAAGTAGTCAAAGTGACAGTCTTTGTTGACTGCATATATTTTTATTCATGTGAAAAAGAAGAAAAAGTGATCATCCAAACATTAATTAAATGTAAAATTTGCATAATTTTTGAAGAAATTTCACAGCTATTCTTCCTTTCTCAAAAACAAATTTCTATTTTCAACTTCAACTGATCATTTCTTTTGTCTTTAAACGTTCTAACATTTTCTGAGCTTTATATTCAATTTTATATCCGATTCGCATCTGTTCTACACAAAAATTCCCCAACACATTCCACGCATTGAATACATCGATTGATGCTTGATCAGCGTTGACAAATTCAATAAATGCCTGATTTACTACCTGAAAATATTTCCTTCCTTTGAAGTTTTTCAAGTGCAGTTTTAATTCCTGTAGTTTTGATTCTCTTCACAGAATCACTTGTGTCTTTTGTCATTGTGGATATGTGAAGACAGGTTATTCGGATATACAGAGTACGATGAAGTATGAAACTATCGGCTTCGATTTTTCGAAATTTCTCCGAAGTTTAATTCTGTGACTGTATTAAAGTAACACTTGAGCACTGCTTGTATGATTCATTTATAGTATTATTGGTTTTAAAAAGTTTTCATAAATGCATTAACCATTACTAAAGACAGTTTTTCTTAATTTTCGTTACCTTAATATTTTCATCATCAAATTAAGCTTTGTAATAATTTCGAAAAGTGCCAAAATTTCATACCTTCCAATAATTGCTTTTATACTGTATTCTTGTATGAATTACATGTCGTGCACCCAATGTTTGCAATGATTTGCTCATTGCAGTTGGATTATACAAATGTAACATAACGAATGATAAGGTCGTTTCCACAGCCTAAATAAATCTTTCCATGAATAATATACACTAAGAATTTAAGCAAATATCAAAAAAGGTGGTAATTTCATCAAACTCTCGCAAATCCATTATTTTTCTAAAATATAAATGCGGAAAAAACGCAAAATTTTTTATTTTATCACGAACGCTGTACAAAAGTTGGAAATAAACCATAAACATATATTTTCAAAAGTGGAAAATACTGTAAGAGCTTTCTATAAAGAGCTTACTGTAAAGTATCGCAACTCTTCCCTATGAGATGACAGCTACTGAATATCTGACATGCAATGTATTTCTGTCTATATGATTCACACTAATTAATTGAAAAATCGAAGAATTTCGTCTTTATGAAGTGACCCTTCCATTGCTATTGCAAGATACTACGTGAAGAAAATCTAGGTATCAACTTAGTGGTTGTAAACGATTTCGTATAAGTCTAAGTTCCAAGTGGTTCTAACTAGGATCACTATCTTACAAGAATATTACTTACATTTTATTATCTGCAAAAATTTAGTATCATTTTATGATATACAAAACTATGGCAACATTTGCAGAAAAGTATCTTGATACTTCGAAGTTAACCTCTAATAGATCAAAGCAAAATGAAGAATTCATTAGATTTAATAATGGAATTAATTTGTGGATATTCAAATTTCGGGAAGGATATTTAAGATCATACTTTCCAAAAATGACGCAATGGCCTAAATGACATGCGGAACAAACTGAACTGAGCTCGAAATATGTTAACAATCATCTACTCCCATTCATTTGTATTTACCAAGATAATTCACTGTTAAAAGAAGATATTGTTTACCAAAATGGAAATTTTAATAACCTTCAAATTAATATCAAATTGAAAAAAAAAGTAGCAAGATTAACCGACCAACAAATAAAAAATTAGTTATTAACAAAAAATTAAGGATTAAAATAATTAACCTTAACGTGAAGTTTGAAGAGTGGATTTTTCCGTATTTCATAATAAGGCAAATTTGAAAGATGAAAAAGTAGCTTGAAGGCGTGGATTGATAGCAAATA